CCCCCACCCCGCACCCCTCTGGAACTTCTCACCTCGCCGTTCACCCCTTTCCTCTCGGCACGTCGCACTGACCGGGGCCGGGTCAAGGTTTGGGAGAGCATAGAAAACCTCTCTCCCGCTGCCTGGAGGCGCCCCCGGTACCCGGGTGGACTGTACTGTACTGTACACCTCGTGACGGTGTGCCCCCCCCCCCCCACTCCCTCACGGCCCTTGCGCCTTAATTCGCGTTCCGCAGCCCCGGGGGTCTTTAAGAGCGGCCCTCGCCGCCCCCCGCGGCGGGCCGGGTGGCCGTCCGTCCCAGGGCCCGGGCCCGGGCGGGACAAGACAGGGGGCCGCCACCGCGTGCCACAGGCGTGCCACAAGGCGTGCCACAAGGCGTGCCGCAGGCGTGCCGTGCCGGGCACCGAGCCGCGGCCACATGCTGCTCCCCGTCCGGATTAAGGATTCACCCTCATAGAACATTCATGGCCAGCGTGCCGAGGGGTCCGGCACGGCACGGCCCCGCACAGTGGCACTCCTCATGGCAGGCCGTGTCAATGTCGCGTGCGGGCCGTGTGCGTGGCATGTCATGTGCGTGCCGTGCGTGTGCCGTGCGTGTGCCGTGTGCGTGCCGTGTGCGTGTCGTGTGCGTGCAGTGTGCGTGTCGTGTGCGTGCAGTGTGCGTGCCACGTGCGCAACGGGCGTGCGCGCGCAACTTGAACAAGTGCACAGAGGGGCGGGTGTTTATTTGCAGTAGGGGTATTCACGACGTCGCACCTGTGGCCGCAATTTAATGAGAGGGGCAAGAGAGGGCTGGGCTTGGGCTACGGCCCGCACTCAGAAACGGGCACCATAGAATGGTTAAATGTTTCGTCGGAGTCCACGTTAGTTGCAAGTTTCCCTCTGTACGCATGCCAGAAATTGGTAATGTAGCAGCTGTTGGGGTCCTGCGCGCCGAGCGGCGTCTACTCACCCGTGGTCCTGCTGGAGATCTTGAACCTCTTCTCGATGGTGGTGAGCGTCGCGACGAAGTAGACGTACGCCATGGCCTGCACGGTGCCCAGCAGGCCGTACACGATGAGGAACGTCCTCGACGTGGCGAAGGGGCGCAGGAAGCGGGGCCGCCACCCCCTCAGGCCGCACATGTTGTCCTCGGGGATCTCGTCGGCCAGCTCCCCCGCCGTTCTGCTCCCGTCCTTCTCCATGACCATCCTGCTGGTGGGAAAGAAAGAGAAAATTAAATGCAAGGTTGAAGGCAGCAGGTTGCAGTCGGGTAACCCGGAACCACCGGGGTCTCCATCCCCAATAGAGATGGGGTGGCGACAAATGTTATCTCCTGACGGCCGATTGGCTGCCATGTGGGCGGTGCTCGCTGTGGCCGATGCGTGGCGTGGCGGGGTGGGATGGGGCGGGGTGGGGCGGTCGGGATCGAGAGGCACAGAACTCCTTCAGGATCAAGTCAGATCAAGAGCAGCGAGCTTCATATCTGCCCTTGGGGAGCCCGGCGGGAAAATACGGGGCGAGGTGGGGGCGATGCAAGGGGAAGGGAGCTCTAGTCTCTGGCGCTGGATGAGTGTCACGAACTGCCGCCCCCCATCCCCCGCAAGGCACCGCCACTGGCGCCCCCGCCCCCGGCGCCGCCCCCGACGCAGAGCCCCTCCGCCAGGCCCGACACGTCCGCCAGGGGTATGAAAGGCAGCTTAAGGTGGGATATGCCCCTCATCCCGGGGAGATAGGTTGCGGTCTGCAGGGCCTTGTGGCTTGGGCCCGACCCCACCCCAACCCACCCCACCCCGCTCTGAGCTGGAGGGCGGGCGCGCCGAGCACGCCGAGAACACCCTGCAGGCGGACTAGCTTGAGACCCGACGCGACTCCGCTATGGACGGTGTTGTGTGTACACGGTGATGAAAATAGACAACGGGGATTTTGTTCGCACCCGGCCGCGACACACTAACTACCTTCCTCTCTTTTCCAACCACGTCGTCCACTATGTCTTTCTCTCCCGAACCGCCGGCTGCTTCAGGTAGAGAGCACGGCAGCCCAGCGCACTGTGTGCGGATACGTGGAGATGTTCCCCCCACCCGGCCTCCAAAGAAGCCACTCTCCTTGACCGCGAGATGTCACTCCGCGCGGCGCCTCTGCGGTGGTGGGGCTCTGGAGGTGGCGGGTCGCGGGTCGCGCGGCGGGTCGAGGGGGTCGCAAGGGTCCAGCGGCCCCACTGCCTGCTTACGGCCCACGATGAGGAGCTCAGCTGACGTAATCCCGTATGCAGCACGCTGCCACCGACGCACCCGAGGTGGCGCGGGGGAGGGACACTCTAACAAAAATTGGAAGCAGGGAAGTCCCTCTCCTCTGAGCTCTGCGAGGTACTGATCGAGCTCGGCCTCACCACCGCCGGTTTGCGTCTGTGTCTGCGGCCACACTGCGTCGACGGCGGCCTCTCCTCTCCACGGTGCTCTCCCGCCTGTGCCCACGAGTGGACCCGACGTGGGGCTTACGTAAAGGTCCTCGATGACGGGATCCTGGGGGGCGGCGGGAAGAGGAGGAGGGAGAGGGCATCACAGTGGCTAAGTACAGGCCCGGCGCCCGGCGCAGCGTTTTTGTTCCGGCCGGGCGGACAGCGGCTTCCGTTCCGACAGGGCCATTCTGCCATTCATCCTCGGGGCATTCATTCATTCAGTCATTCAGCCGACGTTGCTCCTGGCCCTCGCCCTTTAGGCCCTAGGAGGCCCTATAGGCCCTAGGCGGCCCTATAGGCCTCCTCCCGGTTCGCATCCCGAGCCTCCGTTCAGGGTACGCACCCCCCCCCCCCCCCCGCGGGCTTTCTAAAGCCGAATAGTGGCCACTAATCTGTTCTTATCTCAGACCACTGCGACGTGGTTAGTCGATCTAATACTCGATGCACGTGTGCGAAGTCCGCAAGCTGCTGCGTCTGTGTATATGTGGGTGTGAGAGAGACGACCTGCTACGCGTGTAGTTCGCCCGCCCCTTTACACGAAACGCATTGAAAACGCTTCGCCGCCCGCCGATTGGCGGCTGAATGGCCGAGCGGCCGAGCCCGAGCCCCGAGGAGCACGTCCAGTCCATACGCACGCCGAAGCCGAGGCCTCCGCGGGCTGTCGGCCAAGACGCCACGCGGCGCCTCGCCGGACACGCCCCTATTCAGTTGCGTTTGCGCCGCTTCGCGCCCTTTATCTCTTTTCCCATTCCATTATGGCCTGTTCGATACGAGCAGGCGCCGCCCCGCCCCGCCCCGCCCCGCCCCGCTGGACGCGCTCCGCGGCGCCGTCGATGAAATCTACGGTCATTTCATTGTGACTTGATAATGTGTGTGTTTGCGCTTGTCGTTTTGGGCGGGTTTGTCCCCCTTCCCCTTCCGCCCGCCGCTCGTTCGGGAGGTTTGGCTCGTGCTTGTCGCACTTTGGGCGTACAAAGGAGCACCGCCGCGACACGCGTGGAGGGTGTGGGGGCGGCAGGCGGGGCGGAGCGGTGCGGAGCGGGGGGCAAATGGGGCGAAAATTGGAACGGCGGAGGGAAAACGGAATTGTCGGGGGTTGGGGAGGGTGGAGAGGGCGAGCGAGGTTGGTTCGGCGTCCATGGAATCGTGACGGACTCGCGGTGGACAGACGGGCCGACAACCACCTAGCGCCTGCCTGCACACACACACGACAGCACACCCCACCGGGCGTTCAAGGGGCGCCAAATAATAAATTATCGTACTGCTGCCAAAAAAGGTAAAACGAAAAGTGCCCCGTACCTAGAGCAGAAACTGACTGACAATGTTAAGCAATGATATGTGAATTGTTTTTGTATAAGAACATCTTACACATTGTATCAGAATAGGTTTCTCCTTTTTTCTGGGTCAAAAGCATGCGGACCGAAATAGATTTAGGTCGGCGACTTTGCGTACGCCTGCAAAATAGCATATGCGAAAATATCCTAGTTCAATACAGAAAGATGGAGGGGGGAGGGTGTCAGTATGAAAAAGAGACTTCGGGGTATTTCCCCCTGACTTGGCTGCAGAGTGAGGGTAGATCCCTTTGAATGTGCCAGTGAGAGTGACTTTCGGGTTGAGAGAGAAGATAGAGAGCGAGCGAGCGAGAGGGAGAGAGAGAAGGAGTGAGAGAGGGGGGAGGGGAGGTGCGAGGAAACGGTCGCGGTATTGTCACACTTTCTTCCAACTCCCTCTTCCCTCCCCTCCCCAACCTTCCCCGCTCGCGAGTGCGTGTGTGCGTGTGCCTTGCCTGTGTGTCAGAGGCATTCACATCACAACGAAGTCTCCCTCGAGCAAAAGAGGGAACGAGCCGTGACAATCCACACCGCGCCACCGGAAATTTCCGGAACGGTTGGAGCTCGTGGGTGGCGCGGGCGCGAGGAGTGCGCGGAGGGCCGTGGCGCCCGAAACGAATGCGATGTACTTGTGCCTCGTTAGGGTTACGAACGCGACCGTGTGTGACAAGTGACGAAGTGACGAGCAGTTAAACTTGTCGACGGAATTGCGCAGAGTTTACAATGAATGTCAAATTACTGTAATGTGTGTAGTAAGGACAAGAGGGACAAGTAGTGACCAACGAGTAGGAGAAGTAGAGGAAAAGGGGAGGGGGAGGGGGATCTAGGAGAGAGACAGATACAAAAGAGAGGGGAAATAAAAACAGAACAGGCTTTGAGCGAGAAGACGACAAGGAGAAGAGAACTAGATACGACGAGGTGATGGTGATGCACTGTGTGCACCGTTACCGCTATCTATGCACAGGCCACTGCCTGTCGGCCCGCGGGGCGTGGCGGGGCGTGGCGGGGCGTGGCGGGGTCGGCGCGGGAACCACATTCAATTCATTAGCGCTGCCCCCACCACCACCACCGTCCCAAATGCCGCGGCCCACTCCGCGCTGTCGGGCTCTCTCATGCCACACCAGATTGCAGCCGATCGTAGCGTCGGGCGGACGCGAGCCATCACATAATTATGGGGGAAATAATTTCATCAAAATGGAAGAAAAAATCGAACTTGTAGCACATCACCGCCCTGCATTGCCTCACGCCACCTCTGTGACGGACTGCGCGCACGACAAGACACACCTCCACACCCGGGCCGGGGTAAAACAGTAATGGGACACCCACCTCAATATGTATGCCGTCGGCAGCGGCGCCGGGGAGAGTCTCACGACATGCACGGAGGCAAGGAGGGCTCTTCAACAGCCAAGTTCGTTGTGATTTTGGAGGAAAGTTGGAAAGAAGTTGGGAGTTTTTGAGGGACGGTGTTGGTGAGCGGGAGGAGGAGGGCGACCAATCCTTACCAGGGCGACAACCTGGCCACCGCCACGGGCACGGGGGACACGACGCTTGGTGCAGCCGGGCGTGGCCGCCTCCCGCTGCAGGCAGGGCATGCAGGGCGGCGCCGAGGCAGTTCCGCCCGCAGTATCACATGACGAGACCCGCAAGGAGCAGGAGCACCGGCGTGGCGTGGCGTGGCGCGGCGTGGCGCGGAGAGGTGAGTGACATGGGCGGTCACGGCCCGCGCACGCCGCCGCGCCCCGGAGCACGCACGCACGCACGTATCGCCCCACCCCCCTCCGAGTGCACTGCACTGCTCCATTGTGCAGTAGGCCAGTCTCACTGCCGCCGTCCTCTCATATCAACGACAGGCTACTTAACATGGTAACAGGGTAGTGTGGCATTGTTTTCAACGGGCAAAAAAAAATGAACATGTAAAAAATTCATTTTATTCAACAACAAAAGTTAAGGATGGAAAAGTTGTTCTGGACGTTAACTGCTGAGAGTGGTAGTAATGTTTACGTGCAAAGAAAAATTATCATAAGGATTTTCTTCATACGTTTGGTGCAAGGTTTTCCCGTAAACAATGAGGCGACCCAACGCACTAGCCTCTGTAAACACTAAGTAGTGTTTTACAGCTGCAAAAAAAAAAGAGTAAAAAAGTTAAGACGAAAAGAAATTAATTCTTTTACGTCCAAATTATGGTCTTAGCGGAGGTAGGGGCGGCGGGGGCGGCCAGCGGTTGCAGGGCACCCATTGTCCTCTCTGTGTTTATCCTCTCGATATCATTTTTTTCTCCCCGCGATATGGCGCTGGATTAACGCGTCCATTGTGCCCCGTGCAGCGACACGTGCCCTCACACACGCTCTTGATAAGCGGCGCTGTGACGGTGCATTTCGCACTGCGAGGCGAGCCTTTCGCACGGCCGCCGTCTGGCCGATAGA